TATTGCCAGATGGCAAAATCATAATCCTCTACACAGGTGACAACGCTGAAAAGGTACAGGTACAAAATCTCGCTCACCCTGCCAACCTATCCGATCCCCTTCTCCTCCATTGGGTCAAATATGCCCATAACCCAGTTTTGGTGCCTCCAACCAACATCGGCCCGAGAAATTTTCGTGACCCATCCACCTCATGGATCGGGCCAGATGGGCAATGGCGAGTAACCATCGGGTCAAAATTAAAGGAGACAGGCTTTTCATTTGTTTATAGGACAAGAGATTTCATCCACTTCAAGAAAAATGTTCACCACTTGCATTCGGTTCCTGGTACGGGTATGTGGGAGTGCGTGGACTTCTACCCGGTTTCACTAAATGGGTCTAAAGGCTTGACCACGTCAGCATATGGCCCAGGAATTAAGCATGTGTTAAAGGCTAGTATTGATCATGCTAAAGTGGATCATTATGCACTTGGGACTTACTTCATTGAGAATGATACATGGATACCCGATAACCCGAAAGAGGATGTGGGTATTGGGTTAAGAGTGGACTATGGAAGATACTATGCATCAAAGTCATTTTATGACCCGGTTAAAGAGAGACGTTTGCTTTGGGGTTGGATTAATGAAACAGATACCAAAAATGATGACTTGAAAAAGGGATGGGCATCTGTTCAGGTATGATTTTTATTGATTTCACATTTTGTTTTGGGTTACTTGAAATATTTTGTCGGTCGCATATAACACTCCAAAGTATTTTGTGATGCATTAAATATTTTGAAATATTTTTTTATGTCTATCTAGTACTTTAAAGTATTTTATAGTTCATTCAGCATCTTAAAATATTTTTTTAGATGCATCCAACACCATAACAAATATTGGAAATTTTTTTTTATAATGCTTGATACACATTTATTTACTGAAACTTTTGAAGAGTTAATGACGAAATTAAAATTTGCTCATTAAGTAAAATTAAATCACTAAATATTTTACTTCAAAAATATTTTACACCTTAACCCTTTTTGTTTCTATCACTATTTTTACTTGCAAGATCTTTCTTTCTCTATCACTCCAAAAATATTTGAAGTTCACATGATGGAGATCAAAGTATCAAATGTAGTCTCATGAAGGAGCCATACTTTTCTCACCTACGCAAATTGAAACTCAAACAATCTTTTTCCTAAATGAACAATACTTATGTGTCAATTATCCATTGTTTGTGGCAGACTATTCCTAGATCAGTTACATTTGACAAGAAAACTGGAACTAATATTCTTCAGTGGCCAGTAGAGGAGATAGAGAGTTTAAGGCTAAGAAGGTTTGAATTTGAAGGCATCGTCCTCAAGCCTGGCTCAGTTTTGCCCTTGAACATAGGCTCCGCAACACAGGTAATAACATCAAGTTTTGAAAAACATTCATGTTTTGTGTTTTCATTCAAAATCTTTTAGGGAACACATAAAAGTTACGAACCCAAGGTGTTTCCTCTAAGGATACCTTATACTAAAAAGAAGGATTTTAGTTACATCTTGCTTTGGCCACAAGATGTTTGTTGAATTGCCTCAAAGTCTGTTGACTGACTATTTGAATTTGAAATTAGCAAACACATTTCATGTTTTCATTCAAAAGTTCATTGACAAACACATAAAACCATGAATTAAGATCTTTCCTGTAAAGATGCCTAATAAGAACCACCATTTTAGTCACATATTGCTTGGCCCTCAAGGTGTTTGTTGAATTGGTACAATTGAAGAGTCTACTAATGAACTGTTTGGATTTGTTGGAAACTTGATCCAGCTGGACATATTTGTTGAATTTGAGATTGAACCGTCGGGTTCCCAAGAGATTGATGAAGACATTGAGGGCTGTGGTGGTGGAGCTACTGATAGAAGTGCTTTGGGACCATTTGGCCTCTTGACTATAGCTGATGATACACTTTCTGAGTTGACACCCATTTATTTCCGTCTCTCTAATACAAGCCATCAAAATTCAACTACTTTTTTTTGTGCTGATGAAACTAGGTATGTACAAACTTTTATTTTTTGGTTCTGATTTTCCTCTTTCTTTGAAAAGAAATAATTCGATTAAGATGATGTTAGAAGCTTGGTATATTAGTTTTATGGTGCACCCATATTGAGAATGCATTAATTACTGATACTACTTTAGTATTATACAATACATAAAGCGTTTTGCCCTCAAGTTTGGTTTGGATGTATATTGAGGATAATGTGCATGTCATATTCTCTCATATGGGAGAACAAAACAAGTACCAGATCAAAATAGATATTATATATCTTTTCAAATTTTGTGTGAGAGAAGAGAACTCACACACACAAAGCAGATGATCCACAAGTAGTCATGTTAAGAAAGAAATTACACATAAATAAGGTGGAACATAGAAGAAGCGCTATGCATATACTAAATGCTAGAAATTGACATGATGCTGATCTATGCCTATGCCACAAATGTGCTGGGGTGTTGGATCATGTGGATCATCATCGGATTTGTGTGGATTTATACTGATGCATAGGAAATTAAAAGGATTCTTGGAGAGAATTTTCTAATGTTATTTGAGAGGAAGTGTCTATGTTCCTTAGCGTCTTGTAGGTTTCTGTTTCCTTTTATAGACCAAAAAAGTAGTTTTTTCTCCATTTATTTGCACCAGGAAGTAGGTAACTCCCAAATTTTTTGGGTTTATGTTGTTGTTTTTCCCAAAATTCTCTTCACTTTTGCCACATGCTAACATTTTGTCATTATAACTTTGTTAAAGTAACTTCCCTTCCCTCTCCAAAGCCGTTTGTTGGGCTTAGACCAAAAGTGGAAATACAGTGTTAACCATACTAAGTATAATATACATATATGACTCTATAATATTATACAATGTTTAGTTGTAGTAAGAACAAAACAAGTATGAGACTAGCAATCTCATTGCTTTTCACTAAGTTCTCTATATACAAATGCTATGGAGAATTCATATTAAGTTTCATGCATTTGACAATAATACACATGATTGCATTAACAACTATGGTATCTTAGTCTGAAATGATTTTGTTGGAATTGCATGAATTTTGAATTCATTTAGAAACCTAAATCAGTATTTGGGTATGTACACAGAACCAATAGCTTGAATATAAATTGTTGGATTATGCAGGTCATCTAAAGCTCCTGATGTCACAAAGACAGTTTATGGAACTGAAGTTCCAGTGCTCAATGATGAGAGACTGTCAATGAGGGTATTGGTAAGTGAAAATCAAACACCAACTGCTCTTATGTATATATACTGGAAATGTCTTTTGAATTTAGTTGTTAAGACACACACACACACACACACTCTTAGCCCTTATGGTTTATAGATTTCACATAATGTTGAAGTTAATGAGAATTAATGTCTTCAAACTTTGAATGCGATTAGGTTGACCATTCAATCATTGAGAGCTTTGCTCAAGGGGGGAGAAGAGTGATCACATCTAGGGTTTATCCAACAGAAGCAATATATGGAGCAGCAAGGTTGTTTCTATTCAACAATGCAACAGCCATTAACATGAAGGCCACCCTCAAGATTTGGGAATTGAACTCTGCTTTCATACGCCCTTTTCCTTTTGATCAGAGTCAATGAAAGGCTCTAGTACTAATATTATGTGCATCTTATTATGGTAATATTTATTATTGTCATGGGAAATATAAAATAAATGGTCATAATCTTGTGGTGGAAAGCTAAATCGTTAGTACAATAAATTAATTTTAACCAATTAATCCCTTTTCAGATGATTGTCAATCTTTTTTATTTTTTAGGCCAAGCACAAGTATTCTCCGCCTAAATGTAGGCACCTCTTCAAATGAGAATTCAAACTTTAATTCGCAATGTTGTGAAAGACTAATCTCTTCTATTAGGTTTGACAGTCTCTGTCAACTTACCAACAGACGAAAAGGATCTCATGCTTCTAAATTGTTGAAACTCCTTTCAAAAAATTAGAAATCAATAGAAGCCCAATGCATACTTTTTCTTTCTTTTTTTTTTTTCAAATAAAAAGCACAGTATATGATCACAATAAAACCCAACGCATACTTGGGCCATAATCAAACATCAAGATACAAGCTTTTTCTTTGGACCTGAACTTGATACAACTATAATAATATTTACTATTATTGAAGATATTTTTTTTTAGAAACATGACTCACACATTTATTATACTTATCATATAAGATTTGAACTTATAATCTCTCTATGAAAAATAACTTGATGATAGTGTTTGGTGTTAATGTAAACCTTGACTATTATAATTATAAACTTGAATCCATTAATTGATAACGTGAAGCCCAAGACGCAATTCATTCAAACTCTATATGAATCACATAACTTTAGATACATGAATCACATAATACTATGAGTCAGGTTCAAAAGTTTAGATAAGAAACCAGGTCCCCCAAAAAAAAAAGGTTTAAATAAGACTTGCTTTATTCATTGATTGATTGATTCGTGGATGATTCTAATAAGTCAAAGATTCGTTGAATAGTGTGAAATTTTGTCTTTTAAAAATGCGTCATTAATTAATACCCCAATAATTCACACGCTATACAATTTTCTTGTATAGTTATGTAGATGTTGTTTTTTCATTCTAAGATGTTTTCTCTGCGAGCTTGGAGACCCAAAATGGCTGCCAAAAGAAACACGAGCTCTCCTGCAAATGAGACGCTAGGTCAGTCTCTCTTTCTTCCGTCCCTCGTTCCATGCCTAATTGGTTCGGCTTTGTTTTTGGTTTGGACCCAAGAAAAGCTCGCAGTTCAGGCCAATATAGTCATTTCCAGTTTTCCTGATTCCTTTTGCAGTGCCAGTGATGGTGAGCGGAATTATTAGGAATTTCAGTATCTTCCAGACGCAGCGTTTTCTGAAGCCGCTTCGCGACAAAAACGGGGTGAAATACTTCTAGAATCTTCAAATTCTTCTTCTGCATTTGAAATTTTCTGCGATTCTTAGCTTCAACTGCAAGCTTTTCTTGGTTCCAAACCAAAATGTCCCGATCGGAGAACGAAGTCGCGGCCGATGATGCATCAAAGTTCAATGTCGAGTTCAGGAGCCATGACGATGAAGCGTGGTACTCCGTGAGGGTTGTGCTGGAGCAAGAAGAAGTTCTGAGACTGAAGTTCCTGAATTTCGGCGACAGTCACGATAAGTTGTTTGAAGCTCAATGCTTCAATAGCTTGAAGGAGGTGGAAGAGTTCGAGAAGCGGTTCAGACCGGTTTCGTTGCAGCTCCAAGACGATGAGTGCCGCAGCATCATACCAGGAACGACCGTCTGTGCTTGCTATCAGTATAACTCTGAAGATGTTCGCTTCTACGACGCTACCGTTGTTGCGGTGAGTACTCCTCCCATTAGCGCTACAGTATCATTTCTTTTAGTGTTATTTTGACGGTGGTTGTGGTTATTTTATTATAAAAATTATATTTAGAGAATTTAACTCAGAATTGAGGTGCGAATCTATTAATTTAATATTTTCTCACGTGCGTCTCACATAAGTTTTGAGCGTAACATAACATATAAAATTCGCCTGCTTTAGTTTAGCGTGGTTTATCATAAAAATAAGAGACATGACATTTTTGCTCCGTAAACGTTAACTCAAATATATTGATATAAAGAAGAAAGATTAAGATGCAAATTGGTAGTATTTTCTTATGGACATTTGAAAGGGTTCTTTGGTGCAACAGTACAGATAAACGTTCTTAGATGGAGGGCTGGTTTGGATGGAAACGAACCATAGTTTTAAAAGCGATTTTACGGTATACGAAATAAATATGTGGAGGAATTTGTCTCAATTTGTGAAAAAATATTTTAAAAAGCACTTTTACAGCTTCCCAAATACTGCTAGAGTAAAAATGACGTCCATTTTTTTATACCTAATGTCCGTTACGTTAGTAGGATGGGACCTACTTGATATCTATGTATTATAAGGTTTTGGATGCTAGCTACATTTGATGGGCATGACATTTTTACTTTATTTGAGGAGGATCATGTGTGCAGATAGACTCAAGAACGCTTTATGGTCTTAAATGTTTATGAGGGAATACTTTATGAATAAATTTGCATTTTAACCCAAAGAAACAATGTCCACTGAGACTGAAATTGAACATATCGCATTTTGTTCTCTTAATCATATGCATATGTTTAACCTTTTTTTGTTCGAAATATTTTTGTTTTAAGGGTTAAGATGTAGTTTTATCCTCAAAATATTTTTTCAGTAACATTGAACACCTTAATTTGATATAACTTTGCTCTTAGAGTATTTTCTTAGTAACACTCAATACCTAAAATAATTTTTGATTAATTTTTTAAAAATGCATTTTCTCACTAGCAATGAGTATTTTTTGGTGTAATCGTGGACATGATGTTTTTGGGTGTTGAGAGTTATCAATAAAATATTTTGAAAAAATTGTGCCAAAAATTACTTTAAGGTGCTTGAGTGTTAGTAAACAAAAAAAAAAAACTTTAAAGACAAAATTACAATGAGTAGTGTTGTTGAGAAAATATTTTTGGGTTAAGGTGTAAATTTGTCATGAAAGTTTTTACTCAGGAGTGTTAGTTATGCTGAAGTTGTTTGGGTGCAACTTTGTACCAAAAGTTTAAAATTGTAGCAATATTTCTTCTCACCATTAAAAAACTAAGGTTAATAGTTAACATTTTTAATGTTCAATGGTAGTTTTTAATTGGTATGGGGCAATATTACTACGATTTTAAATTTTCGGGACAAATTTGCACCTAGAAAACTTACGGGTGCCTAGCATTTCTGGGCGATAACTAGTGTTACAATGCCTAGATGTGAAACAACAGTAGAAGAAATCCCTAAATTCATGTTTTTTGCTGATAATATATTTCTTTTGGCTGAGTCAAAAGCAGAGATTAATTCTCTGCTTGAGTTGTGGAGAAAAACTTCGGAATCAAAGGGTTTTCGCTTGAGTAAGACAAAATATGTGCATTGCAATTTTGATAAGAGACAAGTTTGAAACGATCTAGAGGTTCAATTTGGAGATCAAATCATCCCACAAGTAGCAAAGTTTAGATATTTGGGATTAATTAGAGAAAAAAAAATAGTGAAGTTGATAGAGATGGAAATAATAGAATCCGAGTTGGATGGTTTAGATGGAGAAAAACTATTGGAGTTATTTGTAATTGAAAAGTACCTGATAAGGTAAAAGAAGAGTTTTATTGTACTATATAAAACTAGTAATGTTGTATAGCAGTGAATGCTAGGCTTTTATAAAGTAGGGGTCACCAGGATGAGAATACTGAGGTGAATCATAGTTATACAAGAAAAGATAAAATTCGTAATGGATATTTATGTGGAAGAGTTTGAGTGGCACCTATTGAAGAGAGAATGTTAGAAAATCATTTGAGGTGGTTTGAACACGTTTAAAGAAGGCAATTAGATGCATTAGCAAGGATGGTTGATCAAGTAGTATGGAATCTTCTTAAAAAAAGTAAGGAAAAACCAAAGAAAGCATTAAATGAAGTTATTGAGTGAGATCTTTTAGTTAATAATCTATTTAAAGATCTGGTTATTGATAGAATATTATAGTACTGTTTGATTCATGTAGCTGATACCACCTAGTGTGATAAAACTTTGTTGTTGTTATATTAAAGGCCTACATTTTTGCTAAAAAAGAATTGAGTAGATCATTTTTAAGCCCATGAAATGATAAAAAGGCTCGGAATAACCTTATGATTGGGTATTAAAAGAGATGCTTTGGAAAGCTCTAAAAGAAAAGGTGTTCATGTTTCTTATATTAGGGCTGTAAAGGAAATCTATGAGTGAGCAGCAACTAATGCAAGCATGCTTAGGTGAGACAGAGGGCTTCCTTATGGGTATTGGTTTACATAACGAGTTATCCTTGTGTTCTTATCTGTTCAACATGATTTTAGATGCTTTAACTAAGCTCATTCAAGAGGAAATGAAATCCCAAGTGCATGCTCTTTACTAATGACATAATCTTGATTAGGAAGTCAAGAGAGGAGGTTAGCTCTAAATTGATTTGTGTTACGGAGACAAACTTTAGAATCTTGAGTAGGAGCAAGACATAGTACTTCAGAAAGAAAAATGTCATTGGCTAATCCTTTATATAAAGAATGTTAGTTTAATACTACTTTTGGTTCTTAAGATAAGAGCTAGATAACTAATTTACAGATATAAAGAAAATTAGTAAGTTAGTTATTTGTAATAAATAAATATTTTCTTTCATAAAATACTTTTATTAATCATGTGCATTGGAACTACTTGTTGATGAAAACTCTTTAACATGTTCAATTACATTACTTGGGGGCAAAATAGATAAGGATTAAAGACAAAGTGGATTGGAGTTTTATATTTAGTACCAAATTAAATCTCCAACTAGTTCTTATACTAAGGATTTGAGGTAGTATCATGAAACGGCAGATGACCAAGATGAAAGTGAAGACAATTCTTATCACGTGTGGACTCAAATGACTTCAAATGAAGAGAAGAGGGTCACAAACTTTGGAGCTTACTTCATTCATTTTACTCGTCAAGATAATATAAACCATTATTCACCTTACCAAGTTTTATTATCCTCTTCATTTCCTGTTCTTCATAATATAAATGAGTTGGGTGAAAGGCTACACTGCAATATGAGAATTGGTTGAGTTTGTGTCAAAATAAGATTCATGCGAAGTTTTGGAGCATGAATGCATTTTTAAGCATCTGCTTCTGCAACGCCTAAAGTACCTAGATTTGGCCTAAGCTATATTTTCATCTCTCTTCAGTGGGAAATGCGGTGGGGTTGCTTTATTCTTTAACATATACTCTGTTGTTGGTGGCTGCTGTTCTGTGCATTCAAGCTATTGAATGGCCTACATCTAATGACTAATTTCTCAACCTATTTAATATTTTTCTTCTCCAACTTTTCTTGAGCTGAGCAATATTTGATTTTACTCTTAAAATGACGTTAGTACTGCTGAAGTCTAAATTCTATTAGAATGCAAATCTGACTTATTGGGGTGGGAAGGTATTTCCAGGAATGTCTTACATGCTGCCTTCTTATTTGCTTGATCTGGTAGGTGCAAGAGAAGGAACATTCTTTCAACGGAGGAGAGGAAGAGTGCTTATGCACCTATACACTTCTCTGGTTACATGGACCTGTAGCTGGAATTTACAGTAATGCCACTGTAGCAGATGTTTGCAAAATTCAGCCAACTTCAGGGCTGGATCCCGTAGTGGCTTCATTTCTGAAGATTGCAAGGGAAAGAACTAAAGTTACTGCTAATTCTATTTCATTTTCCAAGGGAGCTAGTGGATTGGAAGTGGTACAGCCCTGCAATGGAAGCCAAAATATTAAACAGAAAAGTAGTTTTCTTGAGCGCCTATACATGGCAAGTCATATGCCTCTTTATGTTTGTTGAAAGCGCTAACTATTACTTCTTTCAGTCCTAAATATAAGAATTAGTTATGAGGTTTACTCTGTTGTATGACCTCAATTTGTCTTCTAAGGTTATAATGTTTTTCACAAACTGTCCCTATTGAATGCACATTTAAAGGGGGGTTTAAGGGGTGGTTTCAATACAAATGATTAAAGAGAGTATTTTAGGAAAATCAACACACATTACAACTAGTTTCTTTAATCTCTATTAATTAGTTATCTTGTTACTATTTTAAGATTGAAGGGAGTCGCTTACATTCTGACAAAATGTATTCATGTTGCATGTTCTATTTTGTGGTTATTTTTTAGTGTGTAATATCTTATTTGGCTGTGTAGGATGCTCGCTGTACCAGGCGGTCAATCAGTAAAAATCCATCTTCATGTGAAAGTTCGTATATGTCATATTCACCACCATTTTTCTTATTCATTTAACTTAAATGTGATGCATTTTCTTTTTTGTGTTGTTTTTTTTTTTTTTTTTTGAATTAAAGCAGATAGGATTGCCAAGCTTCTTAGCAAAAGACTGGAAGATAGAGATCTTGGTGGGAAGAAAAACTTATTTATGATATTAGTTGGGAATCTGGATAAAACTTTATCTCCACCAACAATTGAAGAATTCTTATACAGACACATCTCTGTATCACCCAGAGTGTACATTTTTCCGAGTTTATCGTCGGAGTTGTTTACTAGAGGGGCCTTTGTCTTTGATAGTAAAGGAGATTTTGAAAAGCTTCACAACTTTTTGAACGACCCCACTCAGATAGTGATGTCTTCAACAGGAAGGTGTGTTTGGAATTTACAGTTCCCTTTTTTGGTGTACAATAGATTACAAAAATAGGCAGATTTACCATGCAAAGCTCTCCTTTATAATTGCTTCATCTAGTGGACTGGCGCTATATGCAATCTGCTTTTTTTCTTAAATGTTAGTTTACATTTAAGAGATATTTCAAATGTTGGACAGTCAAATTGGTCATGACATGAGCTAACTTTGTATTTGAGAGTTAAAAATTCTTGCAGGTTTACGAACTAGTTATTTGTCATGCATTTCAATGTAAGAGCTAAAAGTATTATCATTTTGTGTTGAAAATGGTGGCTTTAATTGATTTTAGATTCTTTTGTGTTTATGATATTGATTTTCGTTAGCCCAATATATATTTGATAAACATGTTATTAGCCCAATATATATTTGATAAACATGTTATCTTCGTAATTAAATATTATCATTTTGGTTTATAGTATTCTAGTTGATTTAGTTGTTCTGCAAAATGGTTGTCTGTGTGGTCAATAATGTAATCGTTATGAACTGATTATGAAACGTGAATTTTTAAAATTAGGCCATTTATTTGTGAAGTGGCGAGAAATGTACCTTTATCTTTTTCAGGCCATGGGTGATGACTGAAGAGGTGGTGGGGCTTAAAAACATCAAAGCATCAATAGGAACATTAATGCCTGCATCTAAGGTAACATCGTATCTCGCATCTAGCCAATAGAAAATTCTTTTAGAACGCCTTACGATTTGTTCTTATGGTTTAAAGTGTCATTCAACGCCTTTGTGATTTGTCTATGTTATTGCTTAACCACCTCGTGCTATTGATTTAAAATTTGGTGGAAATAATTATGGCTAATAAATAAATGATTTGTTTCACATGTATGGAAATTTTTGTGGTGTTTTAATCCATTATTCGAAGGGCTAAAGAGCATTCTTGCCCGGAATAGTTTCATGAGGAGCACTGGCTATTGTAGATTATTCATTCATATAATTTGTTTCAATTAGATTTAGGATGCCACACAAGTTGTTTGTGAGACAACTAAACAAGCTATGAAAGAGTTTGAAACGCTCGGATGTGTTAGGTGGCTAGTTTACCCAAGAGAGGGGTGAATTGGGTACTTAAAGTTTCTGTACAGATGATAAAGAAGTGATAGCACAATATAAGGTCTATGAAACAAAGTATAAAATGTGTATATACTTGCAAAGTAAGATAGTGAGAGATGAGGAGATCAAACACTAGGTTCATTTGGTTCAAATTCTCAACTTGAGCCTACATCCAAACCCCAAGCTCCTCACTTGAGATTTTCCACTAATTCCACAAGTTCGATTTGGGTACTTGTAAAGCCACAATACGTTCACTTGACCTCTTTTCTAGGCCAAATAATCCTCACTCCCTTTCAATGGAGTAATCTTTTCCTGATAATCTTGTCTCTGGATAGACGCCTACTGTATATTTTGGAAATAATTGCAGTAAAGTAGTAGACAACTAATCATTGAGTAGGCAAATACTAAATCTTCCTGAGAGCATCATTCAAAGTGTTAGCACTACACTCAAGACGGGGTGAATTGGGTTATTATAAAAATGTGAATGAAACTTGAAATCAAAGACTTAAATAGTAAAGAGATTTCAATATATTTTATCTATGTCTAATCCCCAAGAACCTCTTGAGATTTCAATATATTATATCTTTCAAGTTTAACATGGTATTTGAGTTAATGGGTACTTGTGAAGCCTTTGTACTCACTTCAGATCCCTCAAGTTTGTAATGTAACGTTCTTGCAACCTGTAATAAATGATTGCAATGACTGAACTCTTACTTTCAAGAATGAGTAATGATGAACGCTGAAGCATAGGGAGTATAGGTGTTGGAGCTGTGAATGTGACATTAATGAAACAGAGTTTCAGCCCGTTTAATTTTTCAAGGTTGTTATTCTGTCTTAAATGCTCTTTTATTTATAGTTGAAGCTGGTTGAATAGCCATTAGACTCAACAATCTTTCCATTGGAGCTAAAGCGTGTGATTGTTGAGAATTATTAAATGCATCTGTCTGTTTTCATAATAAATTCATTGCTTTAATGTCGGTAAAATGTGTTTTAATATGTTCTGATATGTTATATGACACTTAGACACATTTAGGGAAGGTTTGGAATAGCTTTTATTAAAGTTAGATAACATTTGAAAAATCCAAGATGTTGTTATGAGATACAGAGCATTCTGACTCGGTTGATATAAATCTCACTCTAGTTGGCTATGAACTAAGGCACAAAATCTTGATGTTTTTAAATGATACAATCAAGTAATGTCATCGACGGTAAGTGTTTTAGATATTTGAGAGTGATAGCCATAAGATTAAGTCAAGAATATTGGATGGCTCAAGTTTTCTTATAAGCAACTTCCAATTAGAATTAACTGACTCCAGTTGTCTATGAAGAATTTCTAGGGCGCGGTGCTTGGCTTGGGTTGACCAAGGAGTAACCTCAGGTTGGATAAGATTTGAGTTACACTAGAAGAGAGTAACTTCAGGTTAGAACAAACTTGACTTGATTTGAGCAAGGCTATTCTCAAAAATGGGTTTATGGCTCGAGTTGATAAAGGTTAACCTCAGGTCAAGCAACAACCAGTGACCGATAAGCAATAGCAACTTGAGGTTGAATGCTACTTGGCTCGAGTTAACATAGAATAAATTCAAGGTTAAACTTGTAACTCTAACAGCTATATCACAGTTTATTAAGCTCAATTCAATAGTAGATTATGGACAAGTAGGCGACTGATGAAGCCATCCGAAAAGTCATTTAGCTTTGTAAGAAATGGCTAGGTGAATGACCTTGAATAGCTTCAACAAATTCTTCATCAGAATATTTGACTGTGTTAAGGTAAATGACTAAGCATGGTTAATACAAAGATATTGCTCTAAATATTGAACTTGTGTAGACGATGAAGTATACAGGTGACTGAGTTGATTTTTGAGAAATCATTCTCAGTTCAAATAGAATAGTAATATTCGAATATTAACTCATAGATTTCTGTTATGAACTTCTGATATCTTAGAAAGTCGAAATCAAATACTTCAACAATGAAACAAAGTTTTGTCAAATCCTTCAGCATGAAACTTGACAAAAAGCATAGTGAGAACAACTCCGAGCTTAAACTATAACAACTACTATTACTAGTAAAGATGATAAAGATTTATGAATCCAATCTTCACCTGTTGATGCATTTTTCAACCACTTCAAATGATCTGATCTGTTGAGCACAATTTTCAAAGTTTTGTTGTCATCAAAATCTTGATCGTTCACAGGATGCTTAAGCTTAAGCCACAAGGTGGAAATTAATCTTGGGCCAAACCTCAACATAATATATAAGCTTGCTGGGAAAGCATGATTTATCCTGTTGTTTTGGAGTTAGGACTGAGAAGACTGGAGAAGGGAGGAGAAGTGTTTTCAATTTAGGCATTTTAGTTCAATTATTCATTTTTCCTTGTTCCTACCAAGGTAACAAAGTTGCAGATTGCTTAGCAGTTGTGTGTCTTTATCAGTTACCACCATCCCTTTTCTGAGGTCCTGTGATAGTGTGAAGCCTATCTTGGTAGCTGCTGTAAGGGATGTATAGGCTGAGGATATGTAAATCGTGTTTTGCTGGTTTCTTCCGTTTTGAGTTCTGTTTCTCGTCCTTTGTTGCTGTCATATGTATGTTTTTGGATTGAGTTGTTTGCTCTCTGTTTTGTGTCCCTCTCTCTTTTATTTTTGTGGTTCTTTTTTATTTTTGGGTGTTTTGTTCTTTGGATAGATAGGAGTATTTTTAGGCCGCAAAAACTGTTATATGTATTATTTATATGTTCAAAAAATCTATGGCAAATCATACTGTTCACAATGTGTGAACAGTCACAATTAACACGGTTCCTCTTAGTTGTTACTTAATTCATTCTAATCTTGTTATGACTGTTTGGAATATTTGAAGGCTAAGAAAGTAATATATTGTCATTTAAAACATTTTAGTTTTGATTGATAGGAATGTACTTGGATGTTTTATTTTGTGAGAAGTTCCACTTTGCCTCTCTGCATTTATGCTGTGAGAATCTTCTTGTTTTCTTGTTATAACAAACCCGTAGTATAAATAGCATCAAAAGGCGATGAACTGGAGGCTCTGTTCTCTTATTAGGCTAAAGATAGTCCACTTGATACAATTACATGTAATTATTGTTGGTAAATTGTTTGAAAGTTTATTGTCGCAATCTTTGATCTGAATACACTTAGTACTTTGTCTCCTGCAAATGAACAAGTTTGAAAATGACAAATTTGAGCCCAACACAATAGAAGTCATCTAGACATATGTTCTCATCATCTAAAGTTGTGTTTTGAAAGTTGATCATACGGAAGTTAAGAATTATCAATTGTCTCTTTACTGCAAGGTGTAATCAAAATGTTTGATTCAGAACTGAATTGTTCAATAACTTGCGAAGGATCGTGGGCTCTAAATATGGGATTTGGAGTGGGTTTTACACGTAGTTATTGTTGGTAAATTGTTTGAAGGTTTATCGTGGCAATCTTCCCTTCATTGTGTAGTCAAAATTTCTGATTGAGAATTGCATTCTTCAGAGCAAGACATTGCAAGAAGAATGTGATGGAAAGAGAACTGATTTAAAGGTTGTTCGTGTTGGAACTCAAGAGTTCAAGATGGCCAGTGACCTTAGGGATATTTTCATGGAATTTTCTGCTCACCAAAGGCAACTCCACCAGCGGCTCGCATTTGAGGAGAGAATGGTACTTTGCGACTTTTGATATACTTGATCCTATCTGCCTACACAGTAAATAGTAGTGCGTAGAATGCCATTATCTATACATGCATAGTGGTCACTTTTTTTTTTTTTTAATTTTTCTAGTCGGTATGTGAATGTTTACTCTGTAAATATCACAATGCTGTTAGGGATGGATTATAGCATTATAGCATTACACCATTATATATACATTGGATTTAAATCCTCTGTATTTAATTAGTCAATGCACGATGTAAGGAAGTGAGGAGATGACAGTTACATACATTTTCACTTTTCTGTATCACTTCTTTTTAGAAATCTATAATATTAAGATCACAGTTGATATGATTACTTATTATCATATGAGATTAGACAAACCCATGGAAGTGGGATTGGGGAATACTATTTCCTTCTATGGTACTTCTCAATTATACTTATATGGGTTTGTCTATTTTCATATAACGAGCAATTTTTCATACTAAATACTCTTTTAATAAATTTTTTTTAATTTCAATCCCTATTCATGCTTTTTATTTTCAATGTTTCATATCAAATGGGATCTAGAGCTAAAGGTATCTAAACATTTTCACTTGTATGATCTCAGCTTCCTGCAATCTTCAGGTCTCTCCACCAAGACGTTACTTTGAAATCAATTCACTGTCAAGTCCATTGGCTGATTCTGGATCTTTCGTCAACGGGGCAGCATTTGTTTTATGATTTTTTAAAATATTTTATTAAAAAAATTTAACAATTTATTTTCTCAAATAATATAATGTGTCTCACTTCAAGATTATATCTAATAAAATTAATTCATGAATAATAAATTTACCTCTATTCAAGATTATCTACTACATTTAAACTATGATCAACCTCATGCATTTACCCAATAATTAGATGTAGGGATTGCACCATGATTACATAGAGAAGACACCAAAATTGCAAAAAGATTATATAAAAATTAAAGAGAAACTAAACTAAAACAATATATAGAAAATTTATGGATTATATAAAAACATTTCACGCATATGATTTGGTCCCTGACCAATTTAACTCGCGTTTAAACAATGTTAATCTAAAGCTGATGTACATGTACATGATTAGTATGGGCATTAATTGAATAATTTTAGGATTGGTTCTTTCTTGTACAGTTTTCTTTCTAGTATATATTCTGGGCTTGTTTGGAACTGCATATTAGGTATTTATATACTTATACCATATTCTGTAAATTATAACGAAAAAGCCGCTTTTGAAAAATCTATCATCATTCTAAATGAGCACCTAATATTTCCCGTATTTCATTGCATTCTCTATAAGTCTTTTCATTTTATTATTATTTATTTTTACCCCATCACCATTTTTTAGATTTAGATTGCTTGAATCTACTCAACGAGTGAATTAACCAAGGGGTCTAATTATAGTACTCATTTCGCTCTTTATTATAAATATAAAAGCACTTAATAATAACTTGACATATAAATTAATGCAATTAGTTAAGATCAGTTATTTGTTATAAAATACTAGAATTACTTTCAATAAAAATCAGTATTTAGGCAAGTTTGATTAATTAGTTAAGAAGTTTTATAAAGAGATGCTAGGTGGAAAAAATTAAGCTTTTAGACAAAACGCGTTATAATATAAAACATGTCGTAGGTCCTCATTGCTCCCTCTCCTCTAATGTATAAGAGTTACTTAAGTAATTTAGATAAATTAAGGAGTTTGATGAATTAGTTAATCACAACAAATATATAATCTAATCCCCTAAAATGACCTTATATAACATTAGATTATGTGCCTACAATTGATCTGAAAAAACAATAAATATGAAGGATAAAATGGAGTGAATTATTATATTTGTGACCAAATTCAATCTCTCATTGCACTTGGCTGGGTTCATTAAACATCTAGTCAGGGGTTCAATTTTTAGTGATATATATGGAGAGAGCTTCGTGGCCAGCAATAAGGTCACTTCCGAAAATTTACGATATGAGAGTATTAGTCACTATTACCCGTGGTGGATACTTTGAACCAGTTTGTGTGCTCACCACTTCAAATTCATTAGATTTGGATTGTCTAGATGTCCAGATTTGATTTTTTTTATTTGTTTAAAATAATTATTTTAATGGGTATAGAATCTAAAAGAAAAATAATCTTTTAACTATTATTTTTTTAAAATTTTTTTATTTTAACATAATTAATTAAAAATTTTAAATTTGAATTGTTCAAACCAAATTTAAACGGTCAAGATTTAATAAGTTTGAAATGCTCATCCGGGTGATGAGCACTCCTTCCAGAGAGTAATAGCATTGAAAAGAGGAAATGATTTAGATGCATTAGTTTGTAATTCCATTGATTTATATATAAACTTAAAATTCATTATTAGCAAAAGCCATGATCGTCGAAGTTAATGGCAGGAGGGATGACGAAATGCCAAAGCCTCCTAACCTCACTAACTTTATATTTCAAACACAGAAACTCTTTGGCGTATGTTCTCTCCACCTTCCTATCCATGTCATGAACAAACACGTGCGTCACCCCCGGGTTCTTCCTCCCACGTGCCATCACCGCCGCCGAATATATCACCGCCATCCTACCCGGCAACGACCCCTCATACCCTCTCGGCCCGTCGATCAATATAATGTCCCAATCCTTACTATACACCTCTTCCGGCATGTTGTTCAGAGCCAACTTACACCCTTCGTTCCCTTTCAATCTTACCGTAACATTAGCCCCCCAACAATCCTCTTTGTAGGAGCTGAGTAGAGCGTCCGCGTCGGAGAGGCGAGTCCCGTAGCGCATTATTCGGACGTCGAGGACCGGGAATCGGCGGAGAATAGACCGGAGCCACTTGGGGTCTTCCTCGAGGAAGAGAGTGGTGCCATGAGGGTTGAATGAGTCCCACATGAGAGAGTCATGACCGGAGCCGAAGATGAGGAAGTTGCAGGGAGCAAGGGAGAGGAGGATGTCGAAAGGGCCTCGGGCCTCAGCCAGAGATAGCTGGGGAGTCACAGGAGAGGTAACGTAGTGGAGGATGGCGACGAGGGGGCTCGGAGTTTTCTCAAACTCCGCCGCAATGAGGGCGTCGGCTTTGGTGAAGGGCATGTCGGAAGAGTCATAGCACAATAAGGAGGCGTTGGAGGATGATCTTGTCAGGTAGAGAATGAGGAAAGTGACGGCGACGGCGCCGATGACCAAGACGGTGGTTAGTCTAGGCTTACCGATAAGAATGGAAATGGGAGGTAATCTCTTTCTGGAGGAGTCCTTTCTGATGTACTGCATAGTGCACAGTTTATAATAATGTCAGGGTTTAATTTGTGTGAAATGTGAGGGAAGGAAAAGGAATAGAATGAAGATGAAGGTGAGGAGGAAGAAGAGTGATGTGGAACATGGAGCTTAATTCAATCTAAACGTGGCACTTTCTGGCTCAAAGTTGACTTTATATTATAGTTTCTAATATTAGTACTCACTGGACCTCGTCTCCGTTCTTCCCTCCCAAATTAACGGTATATCAACCATTTCGTTTTATCACAATTTAGTTGGTTTATGATAAGTTAAAATGAACATATATATGAACTGATTTGATTATTGCATTGCAGCTCTATATACTCCTCCGGTCCTAATTATAAGACCCAATTGACTTATTTGAGGAGATTAAGGAAGTAAGTTAAGTTGGTTATTTATAATAAATAAGTGTTGTCATTCCTAAAATATCCTTGTTAATTAAGTATATTGGCTAAAACTATCATTATTAGAAGGATTATCTTGAAAAAAATGCATAAATATAAGAGACAAAATGGATTGGGGTCTTATAATTAGGACCAAATAAAAAGTCAAATGAGGTCTTATAATAAGGACCGGAGGAGTAAGTTAAAATGAACATATATCGGGTTGGGTTTAACAGAAAGAGTTAATATCTTACAACGTAAGAAAAACTAAGGTTTAAATTCTCACTAGGAAGATATCTATATTTAATGTCTGATGATGACTTGAATAATAAAAGTGATCTTCTAAACCAGTTTAAAAAGTTTGAGTTTGATTTTTTTTTAAGACGGGTTTGACAACCAGCCTAAAAATATATTTTAAACTGAAAGTTATTTTTAAACATGACGTAGCTAAAATAGATGTAAAAGATAGGATTTTTAAGCCGCTTATGGCCACGTTAGGTCTTAAAGTGACAATTTTTTCAGATAGATTGTGGCCATAACTAGTTTTTTAAAAAGTCTACCTTCTAGAAATTAAAGCTTCTTTTCATTTACCCAGAAACAGCTAAACACATTCATATGGTTTGCACTCCTAGCCAGTCCTAGATATTAAAGAGTGTCGGCTTATGTACAACATTTTTCCTTGGTATATATATTTTGAAGATCGCAGAGCTATTTCTGAAGATTATTAACTATTGTCATTATTCTTTCGTCTTCTGATGCATGTTAATAATAATGGAGCATTTGTTCGCAATTTCTCCCATTCTGCATCATATGAATGGCCAACTTCCCTCACGTTCCGCCATTGGAATCTCCTTGGTCATACATAGAATTCAAATCCACCTTTCAGAGGAAGCAAATGAAACAATATAAACAAATTGCATTTTAATGTACTGATAACTTGGCCATCATCATTAGGGATCAAAACAGACTAGGCAGCTTGTCAAGAGTGTGTAGTCTAACCTAAATAGAAACAGGCCCAGGCCTTTTTAAAGGCCTGTTTAGCTTAACAAGCCAGTCCTAAACCTTTTGAGAAGCTTGTTAAGTCTGTTAGGTTGGTCTGGACCTATTATAAATTTATAATTATAATAATAAGATAAAATTAGTTTATGCTATTATTTTAATGTGCTATTTCAATTTATTTCTTTTATACGTAGTCACTGTTTCATTGAATTTTGAAATTTAATTTGTAAGTGAAGATAAGGATATTATATAAAATAGTAATATCAATAAATAATGTGAGCTTTAAATTTTAAAAGTATAGATAAAATAACAATGAAACAATTTATTTTAGAAGGATAGCTAAAATGAAGGGGAAGAATTGACAAATTAACTAACTTATATGTTATGTTAATCAAATTATGATACCCATTTATTCGTTGTAAGTTAATGATTTTTTCTGCCCATTTATTTGTCTTAATTTTAATTTTGTACTTACATCTAGTTTTATCTAAATTTTAATATATAATTATAACTTGTTTTCAATAATATGAACTATAATTAAGATTTAAAATAGTACATATGATATTAAAAATTAAATCAAAGACAAAATTAAAAAATAATTATTATGCATTACGTATATTTTGCTTTTTCATTAGTCTATGTATTTTTTTTATGCATTTAAAAATTTTTAAAATTACAGGCCTTTTTATAAGCCCAGGCCAAGCCATGCCAAACTTTAATAAAGGTCAAGTTTAGGTTGGAAAAAAAAGTTTATAACAGGTCACAGATGAGCTTCAGACCAACTAGTACTTACAAGCCATACCTATTAAGGATAAAGCATGACCTATCCTATTTCCATCCATATACATCATATGCTGAGCATTTCTTGGTTCAATAACACCTCCACAACTTCTCGCATAATCGTGGGTCCCTTCTCTGTGGGGGAAGGAGTTTGTTAAAAAAATGGATCATTTTGTGCTTATGTCCAGATCAGTTCAATATCTAACCTAATGGCCCAAAAAAAGGTGCAATATCTAGCCCACTCTTGGAATAAAGAGGTCCTCGTCATGAGTGATGTTGATGAAAAATATTTTTTAATCTTTTTTTGGGAAAATTTCACTAAACCCCATAGTAACTAATTAATATCAGTCTACCTCTAAATTTTTTTTTTGAAATTTCACTACACTCTCAAAGATCAAAGAAAAGATGAAAACACCTATGCTTTATTTTGAAGTTGTAAATTTCCTTGTATTTTTTGCAAATCATCAAAATTTGTATTTCAAATCTTCAAATTCTTGTTATAAATCACCAAATTTGAGTTGTTCATTTATACTAAAAGAAATTACATTTAGAGTTGTGAATTTTCTTAAATTTCATGCAAATCTGTGTTGTAAATCATTAGATTTTTGTTATAAATTGCTAAATTTGAATTGTTTTATTCACCTATAAAATTACAAGGATTACAATGCAAATTCAGTGATTTATAATAAGAATTTGGTGATTTGAAACACATTCAGTGATTTACAACTCAAATAAAAGAAGAGTATTTTTGTCTTTCTAGACAAAAAATCTTGGGTATCGGAATACAGTGAAATTTCAGTCTTTCTTGTGTTGATTGATGTTGATAAGCTATTGAGGTTTTTTTTTTTTTTTTTTTAAATTCTCTGTTTTTTTTACCAGATTTTTAATTACTTTTCAAATTGAGGTGCGATGAAGAGCCTCTAAATTTTAGATAATCCTTAGCGCTGTTTTAATTTCAGTTAAGCAAAAAGAACATTTTATATAGATTTCTTGTTCGCTTTTTGTATAACATGCACGTTCTCATTGAACTAGAAAAGAAAAAATGTTAATAGAGAATGGAATGTATATGTATCCACAATTATGTATTCTTAATGAATGTTGTAGTTTGCTCAATAAACTCATTCTCTTCAGGCTCTTTCTCAATTCTCTTGCCTCTCAAATCTTCTTTCAGCTTTCTTACCCTCTCTTCTATCACTGTCACCATTATGTCTCTCAACCGTTGCAATGACCGATTGGTTTGTCAAGATCTTGTCCATATCATCCTCCCCACTTAAGGATACAAGCCACCAAGAGAAAGGAGAAGTCAAACACGCACAAAAGTAACAGTGAAGCTTACATGAGACTATTGTATATTGTCACTAAATGCAATGTGATGCAACACAATTCTCTAAATATGGTACCAAATTGTATGATCGTTTTCCTAAAACTCACTTCAAATTAAATCACAGAACATTCCCTGCTACTTTTCTGTGTGTTTGAATTTCTTCCTCTCTTTTCTTGATAGCTTATATCCTTAGGTGAGGAGGATGGTTTCCTGATGGCTTATATCTTTAGGTGAGGAGGATGGTACAGAAAAGATCCTGACAAACCAATAAGGATGATGGACAGCCCATTAACCCAGTGAACCAATCATCCAACTGACCTCAATTCAATCAAGATACTCTGCTGCAATAGCTAAGTGACGTAGGGGTGAGATGGTAGAAGAGAGAGTGAGAAAGCTAGAAGAAGATTTAAGAGGCAAGAGAGTTATGGAAGATCCTAAGGAGAACGGGTTTACTGAGCAAACCATGGGAAATTTTAGGACCTACAATGGTTCTACCGAGGGGACCAGGGGTGATAGCAGTTCCCAAAGACAGTAAGAATCAAATGAGATTGTAGTCTTGAAAGTTATATGGAAGGATATAGAGTGCAATCATCCAAAGACTTTCACATAAAGTATGGATTCTAAGAGAGCAGAGGCCAGGATTCACAAATTGGAGACCACATTCAAGGTTGCTGGCCACAATACATACCTAAAGGCACAGGTAGCCATTGTTTTGTTACGAGACAGGGCTAAGATGTGGTGGAGGAGTGCTGGTGGCATGGATGATTCGGGAATTACCTGGGAAGGCTGGAGGTTTGAAAGAATATATTGGTCAGTCCTTCAGTCCCCATGAAGTATGGAAGAGTGGATGTCTCTAAACATAAAGAATGCCTTGAAGAAGGGAGACTTCCTAGTAAGTGGAACACATCGCCATTGGGCAAGGAGTGTTGTATGGTGGTGAGGAATATTTTTTTCTGTGGGAGATTCAATCATTATTTCAGTAGGGGATGAATCAAAATGGGAATTAGTCAAATGTGAAGGAACCTGTTAACATCATTGTTTTTATAAAATCCTCTCAACTTTATGATGTTTGCCCTTGATTTTATTCTACTCTGCTTAGTTTTTGTGTATTGACCTTCAATTTATATTTACTATAATCCTTTGCTTTATTAAGATTTACTTAAAAAAATATAGGTTTTTTTTTTAAAAATGCGTATAAAAATATGATTTTTTTTTAGAATTCATGTGACCCCATCAGGACTAAAAATGACTTCCGCACTAATGAAGAGTGGGCGCTAATTTTTTTCCCTTGTGTGTGTGCATTCTAGTGTCAATCTGGTGCTTTTATTTATGAGTAAAATATATTGACTATTCTTTTATTTTATCTAAATTACAGAAATTTTTTCTCTATTTAAAAATGTATATAAGTCTTTCTTAAAATTAAAATGTGTATTGCCACAAACTTCCTTATATTTTCGAGATTTCATTTATATCTACCCAACTGTTAGCTGACAGTTAAGTTTGTCTTTCAA